TTATTCTCCAAGGCTTCAGCTCAACTGATATTAAAGTATACAAGAAGATCGCCCGCTAAACGACCGTGACGGAAACAGAAACAGTCGATCACTAATCAACTGGCGATCCTCAAGATACTTCAGAAGTGGCGTATTTATTATTCGCTCGATCATCTTAGAAAGCAATGAACTTTTGCGATAGACTTATAGCTCGATGGGTCCCCACCGTTCACCCTTCTTGGGGACAAGATGGAACTGGACGGTTTTCACTGCCCACGGCTAGTACTGCAAGAGAAGTGATACCAACGCGTTGGCACACCACAAAGGTGTTAGCTCTGAGGCGCATGTTTACAAAACCACTGCGGGGCTGCAATCTGAGTCACTTAAGGAGGAGGTCCAGGAGTCAAAACTACCTGTGTAAAACGTATATCTGACAAGACTACCACACCAGGACATGTTCAAGTCGAGACACGTCACATAGTCGATTTCGACGCAAGGATTTGATAAGAATTTAACTGTTTCTTTTCCACTACTGGCGAGACCATCGCCGGATTTGTGCAGTGGTGGGCAGCGCTAAAAATAAGCGCACTGCAATCACGGTCAGACTTTATGGGTGGGCGAAATGTCATGGATGCATCCAGGGTAGCTCCCAAGGACTTGAGCTTCCTGGCCCAGGGTATTGATTGGCGGAAGAGGGTAATTGGATGTGTGAGGTTTCTACGCCTAATGTAGGAGGAGACACGGGTTGAGTTCCCCCTTTGAAAGAGACACTGTGCTTTTCGCTGGGTCAATATCGATGCGCTATTTCCGGAACCATCGTCCGAATGCTACGACGGTACTCTGAAGCCATTAGGGACTTATTTGAATAAAGCTAACTGGGTCGGTGGTCATCGGGGAAACGTAGGTACTTTACAAAATGAATCTCAATCTTGAAGTAGCACCATTAGCACCATCGCGTACAATACAAAGTAGTTTGTGGACCTGTGAATGCTGCTACATACTTTTGTTATGTTTCTAATGTATAAACAGGAATCTACCTAAGTATTTAACAAGTAATTAATATTAACTAATTTTAAAAAAAGAATTTGCAATAAAACCACAAATTTTTCATTTTATTTATTTTTATCATTTCTAAATTTATCACAACATCCATCATTTTGAATAATACATGTAATCTACATACTTATTATATCTAATTACAAATCTAATTACAACGAGATCACATCGATAAATTCACAATTAGATTAAAAGAGCAAAATTAGAACTACCAGGAGCATTGCAGGGTATCAATGCTTACATGTTTTAAAGATTATGATTATTTATTATAGATTATGTATTATTACCCCAGGTGAGTAGACTAGTTCACACCCACCTGGCTTAGAGCGGATTCTAGATCCGGACCTTGAAACAGGGCACAAATTTCTTGCGCCAGTAATTATTCTGCAGAGCGGTGACGGGCTTTCAATGTCCCTAAAATCGAAAAAAAATACGCCTCCTCTAGCGTCGTTACCTTAGAAACCGGTAAATGTGTCTCACAGGAAAATGTGGCATATTGGTATTTTTAATATAGGCCGCTTTTTTGCCAAAGCAATCTACCGTAAATAGTCTCAAAATGCCATCTTTTCTAGTTTTCCAAATACCCTGTGATCTTGGACACATGTTAGTTTCGAAATTCTTAATTTCCCTGTATTCAGGTGGTATGTAATTAAGTGCGAAAACTAGGCGCACGTGGTATTCCAACAGAATACATTCCAAGATCCTACGGATTTCATTAAATTCACCCAAGTGGGAAATTCATTAAAACTACTTTCTAACATCAGGAAAATATTTACAACTACTATGCACAGTAATTTACATTAAATTCAACAACGCGTAAAACACAAAGCTCGACATCAGAGGCAGGTCGGACATACACTTGTTCACTTTTATACTTTTCCAATGAATAAAGACATATTATACTATGAATAGTTTTAAATTGAATAATTTGAATGAATGAATGAATGAATGAACGAATGAATGAATGGATAAATGAATGAATGGATGGATGAATTTTGAATGGAAACATTTTCATCATATGTTTCTTTAGATAATTGATTAAAATGGTGGTTAACAATAAATTATATCCGACCTTATGCTTCTGAAGTCAAGAAATAATAACAATTACCATTTCATTCAAATGTATCATTCGGGCCACATCTGCTAGAATAGTATTATTAGTACTTAGCAAAAAAATAAGAGTCAAACATAAGGTGTAAACAGCTTAGTAAATTAAAATCTAATGTATATAGCGACATAAAGCCACAATTGTAAATTTCAGACTCGCGTTCATTTGGTATATATAGTATAACTTGTTTTGTTATTGTCAACAAGAGAGCATGTTTGAGAACAAATACACCCGACAGTGGTACATGCACCAATGCAAATTCAACATCACAGAATGATTTGCATATTCTTGAATTCAGATTCGGTTTGCCATAAATACTGTTACCTTATAAAAACATTATTGAAATTAAGAACTTGACAGTCTGATTGTTTTTCATTGTCTTTACTCTTTCTTGGTTAACTTCTGCCAAATTTTGTTATGATATATAAATGTAGTAGATAGATAAAGAAAACCAAATTACTATGTTAGAATCCCTCTCATAAAGTAGGTAAAGAGCCAAATACTCCTGAAATCCCCGATCCGTTTTGTATTTGCTTAATTTTTAATATTTAGAAATTTTAAGAAGCAACGTAAAACATTAATGATCGTGTAGCCTCAGGCAACATTAAATTAAAACGTAAAAACACAATTGGTCTATTAATGTTTCAGTCATCCATGTCAGATCAATTAACCGAACAATCAAAGAGATAGCGTTCTCGAAATCTAAAATTCTTATAGTGTTCAATAAATCGTGTAATAGAAATCAAACCCGCAAAATTATAATTTGCATAATTATTAGTGGTAGGACGTCTGACGTGTGAGTCCGCACGGGAAGATACCACCACCTACCTATTTCTGCCGTAGAGCAGTAATGCGTTTCCACTTGAAAGGTGGGGCTGCCGTTATAACTGCTACGCGCTGGGGTTCGGGATAAATAAATTTTCCACCAAAGTACAACTTAAAACTGTATTTATCACTTATAACACTCACAGAACTTTAAAATTTTCCTTTTCACATTTCCTCATCCAGTCTTTCTGTAAGAACACATCGAGGCTTACTGTTTGATTTCTGTGGTAAGCTGACTGGCACCACCGTTTCTGACCTAGGTGTGAGGATACTCCTTTTTAAGCAGTACACTTTGCCAAATGATGCACCTTCCATAGAGATCTCCTCTGGACTACATTTTAACACTCCTTGTCTAACGTCGATCTCGCAACTATGTGTTTTCATGAAGTCCAAGCCCACGATACAGTCGTCAACAATATCAGCCACGATGGCATTGTGCTGATAAACTTCACTGCCGAGTTTCAGCTCCACTTTCTTTTCACCTCGGACGGATATGTGCTGACCGGTGGTTGTTACTAAATTGGTGCCTACCTGGTTGTAAGTGTGGTCCACAAAACACCGACTAGCTATTCTAAAGCTGATAACAGTCCGAGAAGCTCCAGTGTCCAGTGTCAGCTTACACGGTGTGCCATTGACCTCGTCTTTAATAACCAGGCTGTTCCCATCTTCAATCACCAGCCAGCACCCCGTAATTCTGGCGTTTATTCGTTTCCCTGCTGCTGCTAGGCGGTACTTGCCACCCTTTCTTCCCGACGTTCACCTTTCGCTATACCTCTTGCCGGGCAACTCAACCGGAGATGGCCTCTTTCGCCACAGGCGTAGGATCTGGGGCCGTATCCTTGAGGTTGTTCGTGTGCAGGTGAAACGGTCACTTCTCTGAGATGATGAGATCGATGATCCTATCTTACGGCCTCTACCTCCAGATCATGAGCTAAGGCGTCCTTCAGGGCCTCGTAATGACCCAATCACACTGCAACTCTGACCTCCAAGTCTCGGATACCGTCGATAAATACTTGTACCAGGTTACCGTCAAAAAAGGCAGGTAAAGAGCGGTACGCCTTGTGGACTAGCTTCTCAACCTCGAGCGCCTACTGTTGAGATTCTCGTTGCCACGCTGCACTCGTTTCTTCAACTGGGCACGAAACACGTGTTTCAGGTGCGCGTCTCCATATCTGGACTCCTATGCCTCCACGAGCTGTTCATACGTTGCATCCTTATCTAAGGCTTCCAGGCTGGTCAAAGCTTGTTCGCGGAATCCCAGAGTAAGCGCCACCATGGCTTGTGAGTTGCTCCAGCCGTTTGCCTTCACAACGGCCTCAAACTAGATCCTGTAGGCTGACCACGAGGTTGTTCCATCGAATGGCGGAACTTTGTACCCCCGTGTGGAGGGAGCACCAGTAACTGAGGCTGAAGTTACTGTTCCTGTTTTTATGTCTTCCAGAGTCTTTCTCACGTCAGCCACCTGAACCTCAGCTTTCGCAATCCAGCTTTCGTGCTGAGAAATACGGTCCTCGTGCTGTTGCACCTGCTCTTTTATCTCCGTAATGGTTTTGGCGAATGTATCTCTTAAATCTTTTATTAGGAACATCCGTTCCTCCTGTCGCCGAGTGTGCTCCTCCACTTCTGACACCAAATGGTAACGCGCTGGGATTCAGGATAAATAATTGTTCCACCAAAGTATAACTCAAAACTGTATTTACCACTCAGAACACTCACAGAACACTTTAAAATTCTTAATTCACTTCATCCGCTTCGAGTAATTCCGATTATTGACTGACGGCGTGCCATCTCTGCAACGTTTTTATAGTCGAGACGAAATCCCTAGAATCGTCGAGAACATTCCTCACAAGTCGAGTACCTTCAATGTGTATTTCCACTATCTGACATTAGATGGCGTAGTACTCTTCGAGAGTTCTAAATGTTATTATCCTTCGATATTCGTTCGGCTATTCGACGATAAATGACGTTACTCTTACCGGCGTAACATAAATATACTGAGACCTTAGAACTTATATCTCAAGGTAGGTGGCGGCATTTACGTAGTGGGCTCCTTTAACCACTTAACACTAGGTGGGCCGTGAGCTCGTCCAATCATAAAAGCAATAAAAATAAAATTAGAAAAAGATTCGCCTTGAGGCGTTTGGTGCAAATATTAATTAGTGCTAATTTGTAAGATCCACTAGTCCACGTAGTCATCCTGTCGGTGTATCCACCCACACATGCAATCTTCCCTTTAGTAATTGTTAGCGCGATCTAGTTAGTACTTTCCAAATAGGGATAAATGCCACTACATGTGTAAAGTATTATCTTAAATATAGAGAACCTTTATTTATCAACGGATAACCATGAATAGAGATAAAAATAGTTTGACATAAGTAAATTGAAAAGTTTCAAATTGGTATGAATAGAACATTTTAAGGCTTTTCCCCAAATTTGTCACTTTTATCTTTCTGAGCCAATTTGAAACGATCTTAATTAATTTACGAAAATAAGACGCTTATAAAAAATTTGGAATCTTTTAAAAACGAACTATTGTTTTTTTTAAATTTAAATTATCGCTTCTGAATAGTTTTAGAAACAAAATAAGAATTTCATTTTAAATTTTCTTAGACAAAAATAGTTTCAAAAGACTAAAAATAAACGTTTCAGTCAGAATAATAATACTATTACCCCGCAATTTCACATCTTATTTCCCTGTACATTTGTTCACTCCTAAAACCTTTTAAAAAGGTACCACCAATACTGTTAGGACACAATTAAAGACACCTGTAATTAAAAGACGCAGCAAGCATATAGCCATAGCACGTAAGTACAAGGCTATCAATCGGTACGTCTTTAAACACCACTCACAAATTTTATCGTTCAAAATATTGACACGAGAAATGATGAATATGAGAAAGAAAAAAAGCAAAGTTAATATGAATGCATTCTACAACTGCTAGTCAGTTAAATCGCTATACTACTGAGCTACTTGTGAATATACTTATACTAATACCTATATACTAACACCTATTTCAAATGACTGATAACTTGAAAAAGCAGGTTAAGCTAGTTTTATTTAACATTCATATTTTAAACAAGTGTCAAACTCTAGAGGAGAGTGACAAGAGTATTAAGTTATTTTACGATTATAATATGCTTATACTAGGCAATACATTTCAATAAGAACATCAAATAAGTGTAAATTACGCATTATAATGACATGTATGTAGGTAAATTCTATATCTACGTAATGAGCATAGAGATCCTTGGCTCGCTCGCTGAGGCATGCTCTTCTAAGTGACTCGCCATCAGCAGTCGTAACATATTACTACCTTTAAACTATCAATAGAAAATTCAGTTTGACCTGTACCTGAAATAAACGAAAATTCATCAACATTTGTTTGAGATAATCCCGTCATCTCGTCATTACTATCGTACTATCCGCTACCGGCTCTGTAATGAGTCCCCTTTCACTTTACTTCCCTGGGGCAACAATATGTACTAATTTAAACAAAATTAGAAGAAAGTCTTCAGCTGTAGGCATCGGCTTATCTTTGCCGCTGGCTGGGGTCCATTAACAACGATGACCATTATTTAGTAGGTCGTAGGACTACAAAAAACTTTAAAAAGAAAAATACAACAGCTTGAAAGGAAGTCCGTGTTAATTTAGCGGTACATGAGAGCGATGGATTGTTAAGTTAACCTGCTTAGAAAGATTTTGTAATCCCTACTGCTCACTGTACATACACACAGATGTACCAGTGGGGGGTTTGAGCTGATTATAAAATTGGCAAAAGTAAAGAAGAGACACAGAAAAACGATGGATGGCTGCACTGCTAATAATTTAAATAGCATGCGGGATTCTCGTAGGCTCAGACTACTTAATTGTGGGGTGTGGAAGCGTCCTCTGTAACGAATAGCTGATCAAAGTAAATAAAAATGGACACCTACGTAGTAAATGAAGCACCCTGAAAGTTAGCACGTTGTTGATCTTGGTTTTGAGAAGCTGAAGTGATCGTTTCGGACGGGCGAATGCGGAGCCGGGGAGCATCCTGAGCCCGGGGTCCATTCACGGGTCCGGGTCTCGCGACTGGCGGTGGTGGTGGAGGACCGAAGAAAGCAGCCGGCACGTGACCTCCTGGGAAACCCGATTGCAGGAACGAGGAAAACATTCGACCGGGACCCATTGCCCCGTTCACTATGTCGATCAGCCCAGGGAAACGGTATCTGAAACAAACGGAACAAGACGACCCCCGGTTGATTGGAGCCGCGAACAAACCCGATCACACACAAGAACGATCTGCAAGATGACGTTCATTTTGAGTGTTGAGATGGATCCGCTGGTTACTGTTTAGTACCAGGTGGACCCGTTAACGAATATTGTGCATTAAAAGAAACAATAATTCTACTGAGACCGCGCTCTACTTTTTATAATTTAAAAAAATGTAAATTATGGTGTGGCGGATGTTGTGAAAACACGACTTAGATATTCTCTGAAGAATTAAGAGCTGCATTCTCTGACCACCAATCGGCATGCACTGTAAGGGTGGTATTGTAATCCTCGACGGGTAGATATTACCACTCAGCCAAGTTCTGCCGCGAAACATTAATACTGTTCGAAGGGTAGGACAATCCTTGTACAATTTTATTTATTTAAGCTATATATTTTATATATAATGTAATATGTGCTATATTATCAAAAAATATTATGAATTAAATTTTCAAGACTGCAATCAATAAGGATTTTCCCTATTTTGAGTCATTTAGGTTATTCTAATTTAGCTTTGAAAGGTACTTACTCAATTGTTTTCATTAAAACTACCAGCAGCTCCTAAGAGTAGTACAGCTCTGTGAATAAGCAGCGACACAAACGCAGCACTTGTGCATGTACAGTATAAGTACTTAAATACGAGGGCGGCACTGAAAATTTCGGGAATTAACGAAGTAACACAACATTACTATTTAGAAATGTATTTATTGCTTTTCGAAGTATTCTCCGCGAATTTTGACACATTTTTCCATACGATGGAACCAATCATTGAAGCAATCATTCCATTCGGAAGTTGGGGTCTCCAAAATGGCCGTTTTGTAGGCGTCCACAGCTTCTTCAGGTGATGAAAATCTCTGTCCACGCAATTTATTCTTTATTTTAGGGAAAGTATAGAAATCATTAGGGCTTAGGTCGGGGCTGTACGGCGGATGGTCTAATAATTATATGTTTTCTTGCTCTAAAAACTCTTTTGTTCTGTGCGCGGTGTGAGAACTCGCATTGTCGTGATGGAGGATGATGCGGCGGTTGCAGTTCTCTTTACGGAGTTCAGAAACGACCTGTGGCAAACAAATGCTAGCATACCATTCTGCATTAACCGTTCTTTGTCCCTCAAGAGGAATAGTCGTAACATGGCCGGTTTTGGAGACAAACGTGGCCACCATTTTTTTTGCAACACTCCGTGAACGAACAATTTTTGTTGGCTTTAACTCATTTTCGAACACCCAAACTCGTGACTGGTTTTTTGTTTCGGGTTCGTACGCGTATATCCAGGATTCGTCACCTGATACAATGTTGTATACAGCATTTGAGGATCCTGCGTGGAATCTTTCGAGAGTTCTGACGCACCAAGTAACGCGAGCCGCTTTTTGCTCTTCACAGAGCGAATGCGGTATCCATCGGGAAAACAACTTTTTTACACCTAATTGTTCATGCAAGATTATTTGTATTTGACTCATGCCAATGTCTAAAGTTGCCTGAATTTCGCGGTATGTCACATGTCGATCTTCCTCAATCAGCTTACGCACAGCATCAACGTTTTCTTGGGTGACTGCAGTTTTTGGACGACCTTGACGGGGATCATCACTGAGCTTGACACGTCCACGTTGAAACTCAGCAAACCAGCGATAAATTGTGGTTTTGGATGGGGCTTCATCACCAAATGCAGAAATCATCCGGTCAACACACTGTTTTTGTGTTAAACCACTTCGAAAGTCATAATAAATCATCGCTCTTGAATTTTCTCGAGTCAATTCCATTTTCTCAACGACTAAACAAGTTTGACAAAACCTCGTGACAAGACCGAGAATCTTTTTTTAAATAAATAAATGGTATTCGATTTTTAAAACCAAGGAGTTTTCAATTAAAAAGATTTTAATATGACAGGAACAGTGGAAATATTCCATTCCCGATACTTTTAGTGCAGCCTAGTATTATCACAAGAAGTAATTGCAAAAGTGTTTCTGTTGTTTTGTTTTCATTTCACGTAGCACCGGAGTAAAAGGGCGACATGACATAGTACACGTGTATGTATGTCTTAGCTCCTGTTTACTAAGATATTACAAGATGTTTCATGATTTTTAAGTAACAAATTTAAAATTACCGAGAACTTCTAGCTAGACCAGATATGAAAGAACCATTTCCGTAAAGGGAGACAGAGACAGGCGGAGAAGATGGTGATCACTGATTTGTACCGATATTGATATGGGTTTCATCCAAAAGTCCGTCTGCATCGTTGAAATCCCCCTTAGCCCCCAGTCTTCATTTTAGATTATATGTTGACGTACAAAATTAACATAAATAAAAATAACTCACTGTGATCTGCCACGTACGATAGGAAAGGGGGATTGGTATCTCTCTCCTTCGCCCATCCTAAGATTGCCAATTGGTCTTGGCGGGCTGTGAAAGATTTCGTTGGGATGTCCTTGTGGGCTGTGTAGACGCGAGCCGCGGGGTCCATGAAGATTAAGAGGTACGGGTTCCGGCGCCACTCGCCGATTTGTGGGAAACCTGCATCCGGGCGTCACTGCTTAACTTTGCTCCAAAAACTATATAATGTGGCTGTCGTGTCGAAGACTAAGACTGCAACAGAGTCCGATGGTTACACCGATTTTGACAGTGTCAATGGACCTAGCCTTAGATGGATATAACCTCGATTTCTTTCACAACCGTCTAGAAACGGCTTGCCCCTCTCTAATTAACGGGAATTATGTAGATGTTTTCCTCAGACAGTATTGTATACTTTGCATATCCCGATTACAGGGTGGAACACACTAACGGTTTCCAACTAAATTGTTGGCTTTTTGGAAAGACAGAGCATCAAAGTTGTCGTCTAAGACTACTGCCCCGATGCTTTGACTATTAATGCAGATGTTCCACAAGGATACGTCATATTTTCCGTATATTTTTCATCCAACACAAGAACAAATAACATAAGGGATGCGTGATATACCGGTCATCAGTTTTTCTGGAGCGTGGTTCAGGAGAAACGATCAAAATTTGTATCTCAATAGGAAAAGAACACTCAGAGATGGGACTCCGAATGACCCTATTGAACAAACAGGCTAGCGCATTCACTGCGATGAAGGACAAAATTTTGTTATAGTGCTGTCATTTTGACGAAACGGACATCTGTATGGTAAGCCATGGTGAATTTTTCACTATGAATGAAAATGATTATGACTACTCTATACTGTACTAGACTATGTATGAAGACTATAAATGAAGACATTTCCAGACCCATGGAGGAAGAAGATTTTCTCATAACAAATAACACAGTGTCTCTTTTGTAATCAATACTGTCAAATCGGACTGCACTGATGAGACTCCATGAGAATCGGACTGCATCAGCACTGAGACGTAGTCGCTCACAATGGTTCTTATCAGAAGGTTCAAGGTCACTCAAAGAGCAATGGAGAGGGATATGCTCGGAGTGACCCTGCGACATCAAATCAGGAACGAAGAGATTCACGGGGAGACCATGGTGACCGATATAGCCGAAGGATTGCAATGTTGAGGTGGCAGTCATCAAGGCACATTTCTCATTAAACAGATGGCCGATGGTGCCGAAAATCTCTCGAGTGGCAGCCACGTACCAGAAGAAATAGCCTGAGAGGCCCTCCCCCACAAGGTGGACCGACACCCTATTGAATGTTGCGGGAATCAGCTGGATACAAACAGCATAGGACGACATATGCCCAGCAGTGGGCCCCTACAAGCAGAAAGATAACTTTTCCAGAAATAATAATCCTATGTATTATCCAGCTCTGTAATGACCTTCTTTCTCTTAATGGAATTTTGGGAGCGTTGAGACATTGTCATTCTTCAAATGAAGTTAGGAAAAATCTTCAGAGGTAAGCAGCGTCTTGGCCATTCCTCTGGCATTGCTGATGTCCATGAGCGGTGGTGATCATTCACGACCTGATGGCCGTAAACTTATTTGCCTTCGCAGGTAATATTTTTAATCGTTTAATGACCTCTCACCTGTCCTCGACGTAGCGGGAGTGTGCATCATAATTGAAGCGGCGCCTTTTCGGCATATTCACAACGGGTACATGTCCATTTGATCGACCCTCCATAGCCCTTGATGAAAAAAAAAACCATTAAACTTATATCACAGACCTAAGCTTGTTACAGGTGTTCGTATACACCTCAAAACCGGTAAAATAGCGTCTAAAATTAATGAAAACTAAGTCCTAAACTTTATATTATTTTAATTATACTTATTGTTGCATATTTCTCAGCAGACGAACCAAACTTATTAAAATAATTAATTGCTGTACGACCGACTAGTTCGCGGGAAACACTGTTTGAAATTTCCACCAACTAAATCAACGATCTTGAAAAATTTTTGAACCACAGACCAAATAAATTTTATGTAATAAGGCGAACTTATTCATGCTTAGTCGATTTTTAAAGTACTTCAGAACGAGAACTCTAGTAAAAAAATGTAACAGCCCATAATATTGGAAGTCCGCTGAGCGGACGCGGCACTGTGGCCGCCACTGGCCGCATTTGTGGGAAGTCCTTTGAGCGGACGGGTCACTGTTGATAGATAAATGTGATTTGACATTTCACGTATCTGTGGAGTCCGCCGTACGGACACCGCACTATCGTAGCTTTATAGAGTACCATGACATGGGGTAAATTGGGATTCTGGGGTAAATTGGAACAAACCTGCGGAAGATTCTCAAAGTACCTGTAGCACGGAATCTACTTAATTTTCTTTATGGTAATATTTATCAATGTATAGAAGAAAAACCAAGTTAACTATGGAAGTACTAAATGTGAGTTAAGTTGGTCCCAAAAATTCATCAAATTAAATGAAAATAGTGGTTGAAAAGTGCGTTTTAAAACATCTTAAAGAACTTTTAAAAAAAGTAATATTATCGTTGTTTTTTCAATAAGTCCACAGTTTATATAAGTTTTTAATACACCTGGAAATACCAAAACAAACGGTAAGTTGCAATATTCTTATTTTAAATACAATATTTCGACAAAATAAAAAATGTATATTTTTTCCTTTCTTTTTGGGGAAAATTGGGACGTATGTGGGGTAATTTGGAACGAGACTAGAAAAATTAGGGACGAGAAAACACAAAATTGGAACGCCAAAAGACAAAATAGGGATGGCTTGTTAGGGTTGTCACCGATACCTTATAATACTTTTTTTAGCTTATACTATCACTCAATTGCGTGATGTAAAGAAGGTTAATGTGTTTATCAGTTAGTTTATGTAAGTGTTATAGGTAAAAGAAAAGTATATATATAATTACTTTTTTTTCGCGACATTTAGCTTGTAATATCTGCCAGGTCGTATGTCCTTTACAGCAATAAAAAAAATTAAAAATTAAAAAGAACTCAAACGAATCAAATCTTTTGAATCCATTCACGCTTCGAATCATGATTTTTTTAACATTCACAACGCACACACAAATAAAAATAGGTCTCAGATTTTAAATGTAACATTAAAATTAAAAATCCGAGATATCTAGGTTCCAATTATGAGTGAGTGAATTAATTGAGTTTAGTTATTTAGCTTAAAAAGAATTTCTTTTATTTTTGTTATTATTGGCAGTAATCAGATAAAGCTGCTTTTTTATCTTAGTCACCTGATATCTTATTCTTGCTCAAAGATTATTTTGAAAATGTTGATTAAATAAAATTGTATTATTGCATTTCCAGTCCTTTTGTTTTCTATTTTTTATTCTATTTTATGATTTTGTTTCAGAGTTGTGATTTTTAAGGAAATTAAATAATAATTTTCTAAAATATAACATGCACATACTTTTTTTGATCACTGTATTGTTGATTATCATTCACGTCACATCGCTTCGGAATAGAAACCAGCTTAATTTACACTATGTTGTGTATTGTGCTTAAATTATGGGTTGTATTCATAATTTTGGTCCATATAAATAATTGTATGGCACCTTCCTACCTACCTATGTATCGCAGTACTGCGAGCTGACAACCCTTACAAATATCCCAATTTAACCCTTACCCGTGTCAATTTACCCCGGACGCGGGGTAAATTGGGACGGCAATTATTTTACCGATTATTTCTTTAAAATGAATAATTAAAATAATGTAACGGTTTTTATTACCTAGGTACGTTCAAGACTCAACTTATTTCTTTGGTTGAACAGTGACTATTTATTTATTTATTTATTTATTAAGTTGCACCAACAAAGTGATCATCAATACAAAACATTGACAAATTGACAAAAGTTCATGGCAGATGTCACCTCAATTATAGGTGCAATCGACAGTGCATTAACATCAAAACTAAAATAAAATATACAGCTAAGATTTGATTACATTTCATTCATTGCTTGCTTAGGATTAATTTAATTGGGAGATGATCCGCGACAGATTTTTCCTGTAAGTAGTGAGACAATTAGAAAAAACATCTATTTCACTTAAAATAAGTTCAGCGCAATCGGACAACTCCGAAGGAGCATTGACGGAGACCGCGCTACCGTGGACATTATTGTAGTCCCAAAGGATTCTGTTTATTAAAAAATTGGAACTATTTAAAAATTCAATCTAAAGTTCGATTTTGTCCCTATTTACCCCATTTTATGTACAAGGACCGGTATTTAAAGTCGTCGTGGTCTAACGGATAAGACGTCCGGTGCATTCGTGTTGAGCGATGCACCGGTGTTCGAATCCCAAACGGGTACCAAATTTTTGTAATGAAATACGTACTCAACAAATGTTCACGATTGATTTCCACGGTGCAGGAATAGCATCGTGTAACAAAAATGAAACCCGCAAAATTATAATTTGCGTAATCACTGGTGGTAGGACCTCTTGTGAGTTCGCGCGGGTGGGTACCACCACCCTGCCTATTTCTGCCGTGAAGCAGTAATGCGTTTCGGTTTGAAGGGTCGGGCAGCCGTTGTAACTATACTTGAGACCTTAGAACTTATATTATCTCAAAGGTGCGTGGCGCATTTACGTTGTGGATATCTATGGGCTCCAGTAACCACTTAACACCAGGTGGGCTGTGAGCTCGTCCACCCATCTAAGCAATAAAAAAAAAATATATATATATTTTAATAGCACAGTGAAAAGAAGATCTCGTCAATCTTGACATCGAACAATCAATTATTATGTAGAGGCAGTCCGGTCACTTATTGTCGAGCAAGTAGTAGAAGCTATAGTGAACCTTGGCAGTTTAGCATCTCAATATTATTAGAGAACGGCAATTCTATCATACAAAACGAAAAACATTATACTTTTTCGACAAAAATTCTAATTAACGGCATCCGAACTAGACGTTTCCTAAATAAGAAAACCTTAAATTAAAATTAGCACCTACAATCGGAAACTCGGTTGAGCACAAAGTTCTTCTGCCCTACTATATTTAAAAATAAGTTATAATTAGCATTACACTCACCTCGGCGGCTGTGCCTGAGACGGGCGGACCAGGTTCATGGGCTCCTGACGCTCTTCATTGACCATGGGAGGGGGGCTCACGTCCGGTTCGCGTCTGAGTTCTATTGGGCGCTGCCGTGCTTCACGTTCAACCCTTTCAGCGTAGGCGTCGACGTCAATAATTTCCGGACTGCGCGATAAATAAATGATATGTACAACGATCCAATGACCAACGGCCCGCTCACGATATTACTCAAAACAAACTAATTAAATGCAAATTTCCAAAAAATCTCCAATGTAATCTAGTGTCACGGTTCTAGCATCTCAAAACCGAGGTGGTTGATGATCCATGGACGAAGCACCCAATCACAAACTGATTACACAGTCATTACATTCTTAATGAATGTATATTTTATTAGTTTCATGGTTATCTTAAGGTCGGTCTTATTTCTTTAGGCCGGGATGAACCTCTATTGATCCTCCTGAATAAATGTAGAATGTGGTAGCCGAAGTTAGTAAAGGCCAAGGCCGAGAATGACCAAAACTAGGGCCAAAGATGGCAGAACCCCTCCCATAAAGTAATCTTTGGCACTCTCTCTCAACGCACGGTCCTCGTCCGATGTTAACCTGGGGGGTTTCATGTCCTTCCGGATCCTCTCGAGTGATCTGACTAGCTTTAGTATTTTGTATTCGGAAACTTTTTATATTGGATATCTTATCTTTCCTTAATCATCAATACATGAAATTGCGCCATCAAAATAATAAAACATAAATTTTAAATTCTATTTGACTATTAATTATAAAAAAAGAGGTTTTATAAATGGATAAAAATTATTAACATTCAGTAATTTATAAAATAATGAAATAGAAGTAAAGAAATCAATTATAAATTTATTTATTCGATTAAATGCCTAGAAAACAAAGACTTTTGGAATAAAGGTAATTCGATTCACAGCAACCGTTATTTTTTGTTTGGTCTGACCCAATACGTATACATTGAATACAAAATAGACAGTAAAATATATCTAGAACCAATTGACTTTTGAATGTCTTGTGTGTTTTTTGTTTGTTTAAATGCTGTTGTTTTTACAACTGAAATATCAATACAGAAAACAGCATTCACACATTCACATTATTGTGTATACCTAAGCATTCAAACATATTCACAGTAACAACAAAACCAACTGGTAAAATGTGACTTATGCTGAATAAAACGTGGCGTTGTTGTCTCCACTGTATTCAAATTTATGAGTACCATACAACACGTATTTAATAAGATCGTGAAACAATATGAAAATCTTAAACTAATTTTAATCGATTGTGGAGCTACTACTAACACCATGCGAAGAATACGTAGGGCTAAATACTCATGCAACAGGCCAAAGCTGAAGCTTGTTACCTATTAAAAAAAAACATGATCATTGATATTAAAAATAAATATGGTCGTGTGAGATGTTGGTTTCAATGTACTACTTCCCATGAGCTCGAGGAAGGGATCGAAATCGTGAAATTTACATGCTCTAGACTTCCTAGGCTTAAATATCAGACGGATATAATCCCGCATCTAAAGTCTCTATGAACACGGACACACAATACCAACGATGTGTGTATGCTGCTGCATTATAAGTACTTACCGAGATGCGATCCACTGGAGTAAAGCTTACCGTTTCATAACTAGATAGTGAGGGCCTCAAAACACAAACACACAACATACATTCAACATCCCTGCCACTTTTTTATTTTTCCTAACTATTCTGGTGACTTCGAAGGATCATTCTAGATTCATCGAGCGAATAGGTAAGCTCGAGGGGCTCTAGCATGTGGACTTTGCTAACACTAGCCCTAGCAACAGCAGTGCTACGCAGAATCTACCACCGGATCGGAAACGCGACCTACTGAGAAGATCCGGTGAGAAACTCAGTATGCTGTGTCTGTAAGATTATTTACTCGACGAACCCTTCCTCGCAACCGATGGGTTAGACGAGAACGGTGACCGTTGCTTGAGGTACCTAAAAGCACAGATAGTGGATCGGGAGGATCCGAAATGACGTGTTTAGGGCGACGTCGACTGTTTACCATTCCCTGTGACAAGAACAGGCGGTTCGCTAATCTTCAGTTTGATTAATAACGTTACAGTAGTGAAATTAAGCTGCGGCCAGACGATTTCCTCAAAGCTGGATTACAACATAGTATTCCCAATATTCGTTTTACATGCGCGTTATAACCTGCCAATACCACACCAAACCAGAAACAACGGCAACCTTTGGTCAAGAATGATGTCAGTATCGGTTTCATCCAGATCGCAAGCAACCATCTGCAGATTGCAGTGTGATGTGCCAGCTCCGTGATGCCAACCCGTCAGGAGTAAAGCGTTGTGAACCGTGAACGAGGTGCAGGTTTTAAGAGAAAGGTTCTGGACCAAAACTTATTCGAAAAGCTAACAAGAAACCAGTCGTATGCGACCCTTAACTCCTTACCACGGAATATTCAAGCCTCTTAAAGTTTTTTAAATGTTCAGACGGATGGATAAGCTCACGGGCCACCAGGTTAAGTGGTTACCGGAGCTCACAGACATCACAATGTGAATGCCGTCACCCACCTTGTGCTTGTCGTCTTGCAAGATATCGCCAGTCTTCGTTTTCGAGAACGATTCTCTTAAATCCGGCATTACGTTTTGTAGTTAAGCGACACGAAGAGTACTGAAATGCTCACAGTTGACAATCTGCTCAAAATTATATTGTTATTTTAAGGGTATAAAAAAATATAAAGGATTGCATGCTCAACTACACATTAGGCAAAGAAAGGAAACAAAAGAAAACCTCTTTGAGTTACGTACTCGTTAAGAGCTTAAATCTACGTTTTACTTAAAACGAAATCTAATGAAATTCAATCCCAATCAGTATTATGTTTCAATCAATATACCTTTTTTATTTGTTATTTGAACTTCACGTAAAAAATTTAAATCTTCGTAAACTTGGACAAATACCGAAAATATTACAGCCGTTTTTTGCCGTCAACGATGATTGTAACAACGAGATCATATTTATAAAAACGACTGGCTCATCGACGATCTAACATACGGGAATTTCTCCGAGCTGTATTCAAACACAATTGGCTGTATTAACGCGTACACTAAGAACAAACAAGCAAAAAACATCTTTAAATGTTAGAAGATAAGAAACTGTACTGTTTTTATGATTTCGTAAGAAGATAGAGACTTCATCAGAGAGTACAATAACTACTATAAAAATAATAAATTACTTTCAAACAATTGTTCCGGCGTCTCACAGTTGCAAATAAGTTTCACGTAAAAAAGGGACAGTAAATACTATGCAACATGTAACACCGACATAAAGCCAATCAACATTCGATGAGGCTACATCTACTGTGTTACGAACTGAAAATAAATAGGATTCCACTTACTCTACAGTTGGTGGTAGTTGTGGAGGCAACTGGATATGATCTGCACGACGCCAGTATGCATGAAAATCGGATTCAGAAGTTTCTATGGCCAAATCTTCTGGCTGACTGTCATCATGCTCGGGTGATGCTTCTCTCTCGCGACTCTTGTCAGCATCGTCGCTGGATTCACTGGACGTGCTACTTTCATCATTTGATGTTTCTTCAGCATCATTTTTAGGACCCTCATCATTTCGGGGACTGTCGGCATTTTGAGAAGCCTCATCATTTTGACCACTTTCATCATTTTCACCAGCCTGCTCTTGGTCATCAGTATTTTGAGAGTTTTCATTGGAGGTGGTCTCTAAGGTGATGCCTGTAGTATCAGCCTCCATAGTCTCAGTCTTAGATGATGATTGACTTTTTTTAAGTGGCATTGTTAATACACCTACGACCACTCTGTCACTATCAGAATTGTTTGGAGGACGGTTTTCCCCACTGTAAACAACATTAAAACTGATACAAAATTATATACGAATGATAAATTATGTTATAGAACCAAGGTAATACAACATTTTAGTATCAGGGAGAAAATCAAATCTAAAAATAACAAATCCTATTTTACATTTCGCTCTATTTAATCAGTGATATTTAAAAGAGTTATCATTTCCGTTTTAGCTTTTTTGCACAGATTAGTGCAGATTAGCTAACTTGTCGTTCAGAAGTAACCAAAACCTGAAAACATCATAAGGATGAACCACAAATATGAGTCTCAGTCACATTCTACTCACCCTTGCTCTTTCTCTTCCTTTCCATTATTCGCTGGATTACTTGATGATGTGCATGGCTCCTCTTGATTTTCAGACATTTTTCTCAGACCTGTTGGGAAAAAAAATCACATTAAATATGTGTACCTAAACCAGTTCAATTTCAAGTTATCTCAAAGTTATAGTTATTTAAAGAGCCACTGTGCCAAGTGACGACAGAATATGAATATTATACAAATATCAAGTAACTTTATAATTTTGTTTGCTTACAATTTAAATGTCCGGTCAAAATTAATCGAGCCGCAAAACAAACGTTGAATAAAGTGCAAATAACCAGCTTTTCTATTATGCGCTACCGATCTTTATAAGCCCGTTACAATACGATTGTAAGAAAAGTGTTATTTGTTTTTTAGAGTTCTCGCAAAACGACCCTATAAGGCTTCAATAATAGCGCAATACATCCCAGAAATGTATATTTGTAGTAATTAAAATCATCAATCATTAATATTTTAATTAATAATAATCATTTTTATTCATTTAGAATTGTAGCTACTTTCTAATTGTTTTGTTTGTTGTTGTTTTACACCAAAATGTCCAACACTTTTAAAGGATGCGTTGCAGATTGAACGCAACTGCATCATAAATCAAGTATTGATTTACAGGGCGTTGGCTGCGCAGCGCGCATCGAGTAGCCGCCTAAACACATACATAATATTTCCAATAAACTGTACAAAAACACAGGACTAGACCGAGGAGGCCCGGCGACGACCCAGTGGCGGTTGTACAAAACCCCAAGAGAAAGCACGTTTTAAACGGATATTCTTATGCAAGCAATACAGTCAAATCATAAACATTCAGCAGCATAAACAAATCATATTATATTTAATTTAATAAATAAAAATTAAATCTTCCCTTCAAATAAGTAATACTATATTGTATTATGAGCCCACACTTTTTTTCAGGACATTTGTTTAAATGAAATGTTTAAATGAATTATTTAAATAAATCGTTTAATAATTAAATTAAAATTAATTATTAATTTTTTTAATTAAATTAATAATTAATTTAATTTTAAAAAAATTAGTGAAATTCAAATTTAGTTAAATTTAAATTTAAATTAGGCAGTTCAATTTCGCGCTATTACTATCATTATGTGCGTAAAGCTTTTTAAACTCTCTCTCGCAGAACTCATTAGCATTCAAACTGTCACCTATTACTGCTTCACAAAAGAAATAGAAGGGGCGGTGGTACCTACTCGAACGGGTCATAAGATACTCAAATACCGATGGTACGAGTATGCCAGATGAATTCTCAAAAAGCTCTTTTCTTTTCAAAAAAGTAGATCAGACATTATTTCTCATTCTGAAAGTTCTTCTAAAAAATAGACATTATTAACCTACTTTGTTCGCAGAATCTTTAATTAGGAAGGCCTCCAGCAAACCACGGGTATTGCTGAATCAGGAACGTTGTAATTAATATTCACGTATTGTCACAAAAACACCTGAACACCTCAATTTGCAAAAATACAACCTTGCACACCGCGAAATGGAAGCTTGCGATGACACTTGCATAAATACTGACGCAACTGCATCGAGGACAGGTGCACCGCGCAGGCGTAGTGCGTATCGCATCGATGGAAGGTACTAATTGATTTTAGGGCGGTGGCTGGACTATATCCGGTCGTCTCAATGCTTGTATAATGTTGCTTACAAGGGACACGCTATACAGAGTGTCCCACGATGAATAATCCCGAAGACCCGAAGAATCCATGTACTCGTAGAAGGCTTTTTTATGGCTCAGGTGGACGGGTGAGCTTACGATCCACTTGGTACTAAGTGATTAAGGAAGCCCATAGCCATAAACAATGTAAATGCCATCGCATATCTTGAAACACGAGTTCTAAGTCTCAGTTTTATAGTTCAACGGTTGCGAAAACAAAGCAGCAAAAGTGCCCTTCTTCGCAGTAAACGCAAAGCTGAGCTCAAAGCACAGAGTTTTACCAAGGTATTTTGAACTATGGGCCAGACTGACATCGGACTTGCGTAGTGGTGGAAGACTAGATTGGCAAAAGTTACTTTCCGCAGCCTTGGCGAGTGACTAAACAATACGACTCCAAGAGGGATAGCTCTTGTCTTTCACCAATTCTTGCAACATTCTCTGACTTCTCTTTGACAATAGCCTTCTTATAGGTTCTGGAAGGGGCATTAAATTTCCACCTTTTCTTTAAGATATTAGGATCTTAACGTCTTCTGGCATCATTCTATGTTATATACGCTGACCGTTTGAGGGGTGCAGCATCTTGACTGGCTTTATATACCAGGGCTTTCCAATACCTCCAACGGGCACCACCTCAGAAGAAGGAAACAATCACTCATTTCCAGAAGCACTACATCTTCAAATCAGTCTACACAGATGTCAGGATCGTTAAATGAAAGCAGATTCACTCCTTGGGTAGGATGTGTAGTATGCAGGCACTACGTCGCAACCTACGCATTACGTTGCTGACCTAGCCTGCCAAACACTTCGACACCCAGAACGATAGAGTGATATGACAGCACGAATGACGCCGTGATCAGATGACCCAAGTGAAGCGTTGACCACCGTACTGTATCCAACTGGGTGAGTAGTCTGCAGAAGGTTCAACACAAGGCTCGTGCCCCTCAAGCGGTGTCAACGTTGGTATGTAAGCTGAAATCCACATCAAATGTGGAATGGAGATGCCCCGAAAAACTCTGATCCTTTTCTTGACTTTCATCTATTTTGGTTGGAGAGTCAAGATTCGGAGAAGTAGGTGCTAAAGTTGAATTCAAGGCAATATTTGAATAAATCGCCGGACACAATGAGCACTCCAGCATGGGTTGCGCAAGAAGCAGATGAAGGGTATGGAAGGGCCTCCAACACAACCTGCGTACGGTCACCGGGATCCATTCCACTCGGTCTCCGACACCGGGACTACGACCGCACGAAAGGGTTTACACCGGTCGACGGGACAGCTTAGCGGGGCGGAGCTCAGTAGTGACTCCCGGGTTCAGGTCCTCTTCTGACGTTTCACCGGGTCTCCGTTCCACCTGCTCCTCGTATTCTAATTGTCACCAGGAATACTTACTAGAACTATTATGATTATTTTGCTGCTGTACCTTTGTTGGTAGGCATATGGCTTATGGTAGGAAAATCCCGCATTAAGATCATGATATAATTGGAACTCCTCGAATTCATTCTAGACATTCGATGGACTTTCCACGCTCATTTCGTTAACCTGTTCCTTCCGGCTATTGATCATAGCTAGAGCATTGCCAGCTTCTTCCCAAAACTGGGTATCCAGACCAGATGACAAGCCGTTTCTACATGGGAGTGGTGCGATCAATTACCCTATCCAGCCAATTCCAGTTGATAGCAAGAAAGTGAGGCTGCATCAAAGTTAAAGCACCAATATAGTCTTGGTGATTCGAGGCTACCGCACAAACTCTTTTAAGGTGCCATGAGTGTTGGCAGGGAAGCCACTGTGGATTATTCTGGCGGTGACGAAAAATTGCCCGAGGCGGCGTATCCGTGGGGATATCGGAAAATATTGGCACCCCGCGCTGAAGTTATGGTCTAAGTGTAATTATTTACGTAGGCGATTCGCCCGACCCTTGGACAGTAGATGCACCATAACCGAGGACGCTTCATCTTACCACTGGTATATCAGTACTGAAAAAACATGATTGCCGTTGAACCCCTGCTCTCCCCTGGTTTTCTTCACTGACAAAGTAAATTCAGCCCAATATTCGTCTCATAAATGTTTCGAAATAGTCTATATAATATTAGTTTCATCATCATCATCATCATCATCATCATCAGCCTATAGCAGTCCGCTGCTGGACATAGGCCATATTCGTTTAGGAACCGGTAAATGAGACCCAAAAAAGTGACTTAAATACAAAAGCTGCTACAAACCACATAATATGTAAGCTATCTTGTAAAATAGTTTATCTCATATTACTCTCATACCATTCTTAATATCAGATACTAGACAAAATTCAGCAAAAGCCTGAATAAGACATTTCGATGCCAGGTTTGCAAAAGTTTTGGACCTGAAGTAACCTTTTTATTTACTTAAACGGAAATATGAACACAAAGCATATTTATCACAGTATATCTGGTGCTGAGCGGATATCACATTCTCAACACGGCACCGATAACTGCCTAAAATACTACCATCCAACTACGATATCAAAACAATGTACAAATTGCAATGTGACGTGTTAAAGTGCAGGGCGCGGTCGCACTGCACATGCGCTTATCAGGGCGCTATGGGCGCACAGGGCGATGACTCCGATCCCAGTTTTTACATGAACATACCCCATGTTTTAAGTATGTATTTATTTTAAATGCAGTTAATGGAAAAAAGGTCTGAAGTCGTATAATATTATAACTCTTAATTTGTAAAATATAATTTAATTATGATATCAGATTTTTTTATTTTTTATTACGTAGTATTATCATATTTATAATGATATTGATTGAGGTTGCATGGTTTCCCAAAAATTGTCCTGTGCCTTAAATTATCTCATTACTACACTATATAATATATATAGTGAGATTAATAACTACCTACTTTAAATGACTATAATTTATTAATGTCAAGGTAGGCAGCGGCTTGGCTCTGCCCCTGGCATTGCTGAAGTCCATGGGCGACGGTAACCACTCACCATCAGGTGGGCCGTATGCTCGTCGGCCTACAATGGCAATTAAAAAAAAAACTTACTTTTCGTCGAAGGAGCCTCAAAGATTTCACTAGATTAAAAGGATCACTGTATCTCTTTACACAATTCCCGAAATGAAACGGTCAACGCTATCAGAATTTGCAGCGTTCCGGATGCAACTGACACAGACCGCAGGTGCAACGCGCATAAAATGTATCACGGTAAGAAATGACGCATGCGTAATCGACTGGCCGGCAAGGGCGGTGGCTACATCGAATTTAGGTACCAACTTACTCTGCACCGACTTAAAAAAAAACAAGAGGATGACCTGGTTTTGAAAAGTGCTCAACCAATGTTTTATTCCAGATCGCGGATTTTATTATATATCAAATTAGCATTACCCTAATCCATTGTTATAACAAGAAAG